CCATGCATGAATGAATGCAATAATTAAATGGTCTTAAAGAGNCTTTTTTAGAAGGCAATTGAAGCTTCTGTTCTTGCCTTAATAGTTAGTCGTAATTTGATTTAGTTAATGATCTAGTATAATTGTATATTGGCCATGCATGAATGAATGCAATAATTAAATGGTCTTAAAGAGTTGGATTTGTTAACAATAAACAAAAGGATGTTATGGGAAATACCTTTTCTCGGAGAAGTATAAGAAGAAAAGTCCCAGATAGGGTACAGAAGAGTGAGACTCGGGGACCAAATAATAGAATAGACAAAAACTTTATTTAGAGAAATAATATTTGCCTAGATTTGCGTTCTTCCCCATTATTTTTTTGGGATTACCATGAAGGGAAAGGATTATAAATTTTTGAATCGTTTGAGAGAACATAATGATAATCTCGATCTAGTCGACAGTAGATCCGGTTGGTCGAACGGGCAGAGCTAGCAGCCCAAATCATAGCGTGGTTCTTCAATAGGCTATTTTATTAATGACAAGTTTCAAATTATGTAAAACTCATCAAAATTTACTTCAATACAATACCCTAGTTGAAATTATTTTGGATCATAAAATCCAAAATTTTGTTGTACAATTAATTTATGAAAATGTCACCATCCTCTTATTTCCTTACTTATGATATATTATAATAATTATGAATAATTTATCTTCGCAATATAATAAAAATGAATTATGACTTATTGTCGTGCATTTGATATATAAATCACATTTGTAACCCGTTTTTATAAAAATTTCACTTGTTTTTTCCCCTTTGAACATCAAAAATTAATTAAACAAGTGACTTTCCCTGAAAGAGCAACAATAATCTATATAATTACATTAACGATATTGTTAATAAATATCAAGTTTTCAATCTTTTTGAACACATTAAGTTAAAGAATATACTCCTAACACAAGCGCCCTCGAAAGTATTGTATGGGGCGGACGGTCACCCAAAGAAGAAAGAAAGAAAAAAAGGGAAATGGTACTAACCATTGGGAGAGCTCGTAAAAGTGACGTAACACTATAAACACAAACGTCTTGATTTTAAATTTTGACAATTTTTTAGGGTCACGCTACGAGAGAGGGAGATTTATCCTTCATAAATATTTTAATCTTAGTGTGGATGATCTGTTTTGACCAGATCGGGAATAGAATTAATCAAGCTCTAATATCGGTGTTGATAATTTATCTTTGATTAGATTGAGAATATAATTAATTAAATTATACATAAACTGACCTAAACATCCCTGATTGTTAAATTATAAAAAATGATATAACCAAATACAATAGCATTGTTGGCCCAAAAAATATGTGACAATAAAAGTTACTAGCAAGAAATGACTCTTGAAATGAAGAAACATATAAGAGTATCTGTACATCAAGGTCCTAAGTTTTTGTAGTACAATTCGATGTACACTTGTACTTGTTGGACAAGCATCGTAAAGAAGTAAAGAGGAGTACATTGTACTAATTATGTGGTGCATATAGGGATGGCAATGCACTCGAAAGCACGAGCATTCATCAAAATTCTTCCCGCTTGAATTGAGGGTGAACTATATATATTAGATGATAAACATATACAATAATACTTATATAAATCCATGTACGGTGGACTATAAAATATTCAATTCATGTTTTTATCCTAACATAGATTGACTATTAAATTTTTTATGGACTGATCACGTGTTAAACTCGTGATACTGTCTAAAAAAACGACATCTAGTCATTTCCATCAAAAAATTTAACGAATTATTTAATTAGAGATTAAAGCGACACAAATTGAATAATTTATGGATCAAATTAACAAAATTAATATAATGAGGAGTACACTAACAAAAAATGCTATTAATTCCCCAAAAATAAAACTAATCGTTTTGTTACACTAAAAGTTTGTATTATTGAATCAACCAAATTGATAGTGCATAAGGACGATTTATTGAAATATTCAAAACTCTAAACGTTCTCAAAATAAAACTAAATCCCCAATGATACGAAAGCTATTGTAAAAATTAAAACATAAAATAAACTTCTAAATCCTTTCTACATTATATGGTCTCGCCCTCTTCGGTTCCACGAGTAAATTGGTAGAGGTCAGCAAGAAGAAGGTGCCATGCTTGGAGCTTCGAATTCAGGCTGCACAGTTATGGCAAGCTTTTGGTCCAACTCACAATGCTTTCCTAACCCACAAATGTACCATTTTTTTCCTGGGGTAGCTAGATAAACTCTATCATATCCAGAAGTTAGTGCCTTACTTTCATCTGCAGGCACAATGCAATAGTGGAAGGCAGTCCCATTCACTTTGAAGACATTTTGAGCTCCAACTGGGTATTGAAAAACTGCAGATTTTGATCATTAGATTCAAGGTCATGCGTTAGTTTAAACGAAACAAGATGCAGTGTTCAGCAAATAGTTAAGCATGTCAAGGAGTACATTGCTGCAAATAAACCGAGTCGTTCATGAACACCTTGGGATCTGCTCATATTAAACGAAGTAGGAAGAACTACGCGTAACTTGATCCAATACGGTACACAGGCAGCCTCGCTTGGTTTGAAAAGAGAAGTCTGTCCAAGTTAAGTCATTTGACGTAGTAATAGTCTCAAAGTTATGAATTCAAACTATGACCTTCTCTTTTCTTTATGAAAGCCGTAGAGACATGTCTCTATATAAGAAATGGTCCCTTCCTCACGGCCAAGCCAACTCCCTCGAGGGGCTAGAGCTTATTCGAGTTCGATCATTTTTTACAATGACAAGTGTGAGCCTAATTTTAAACGAGACGAACTTCAAACTTAATTTTAAAACNGCCCTGTTCAACGCCTACCTCCATGGAACCCGCCACTGCAGTGCCCGATGGACTAGGGCGCCCAGCTGCCCCACGCACAACACCGGCGCCCAAAGGCGGTAGCTCCGCTGTCTGAGGCCTTGAATCACCAACAGGAACCATGGGTTCCCCTATTTTCGGCATCCCAAGCTTGGACAGCCCATTGGGTGCATGAATAACGGTGGCAATGGGTGCCCGAGACACCTCCATGCCACTACTTACCTCCTCTTCAATAGCAATGTTGGTTTTTCTCTTCATTAATGCTCCAACTCAAGAGTCTCAAGCTTTGGGTCTCCAAGGATTTCAAAAAAAGACACTCATGAATAAGTTGGAAGGAATGGGTAGAATGAAGAAGAAGGCTATATTTATAGCCTAGGGTTTTTAAAGAGGGAAAAGCCCAAAAAAAAAATTATAGGCTCTCTTAAAAATCCTAGCAAAAGTGGGAAAGATTTAAGATGTGCACCAAAGCAAAAATACATCATGCAGAGAAAGAGTCATCTAGCAGAGGAAGTCTCCACCACATGAAACTCAAGATGTAAGTTAATGCACCATTCTCCAAGTCTCCTTGGACACGAGGCATTGGGGGGCAAATGATGGGTCAAACCCAAATAGCCCAATTTATGTGAAAAGTTCAATCCCAATTGAGGAGCCCAACCTCATGAAAGATCCACCAAGCCCAACATAGTCCAAGACCAGTCAAACTCTCTGCTTGGCTACGTCATCAAGAGGGAGAGCATGGGAGCCCTACCTACACCGCAAAGGAAAAAGTCTACTCTCACTTCATCTTTGACCGCATCTCAATGATAGCTCCTCAACNTCTCTCACACAGACTTGTGGGTTTTTGGTGGAAGATTTGGTGGGTTTTTTTTGTCAATTTCTTGTTGTAAATGGTTTTCTAGATTAGAATAATTGATTGATTTTGGACTTTGGAGGCTTTTAGGGGTTGCAATTATGATTCGATTGTTGAGGGAATAGGTATTAATTTCTGTGTTGTGTGTGTGTATGTGTGTTTTTTTGTGTCTATGTGTGCTGTGTGTGGGTGGGTCACCAGAGTAAAAATGGGTCACCAGAGTAAAAAGGGGTGAGTGAAACAAATCGNAAGTGTGTGTGTTTTTTTGTGTCTATGTGTGCTGTGTGTGGGTGGGTCACCAGAGTAAAAATGGGTCACCAGAGTAAAAAGGGGTGAGTGAAACAAATCGACAAAAGGACTAAGAGAGAGCGAGCTAGCTAGCAAGTGGTTGCTGTGTGAGCTCCGGTGGTGACAGTTCACGAGGGTTGGGTTAAAATGTGTCCTCCATAGATTGTGTTGGGATGTTTTATCAATTAATTAAAAATAAATTAAGAAGGGTATTATAGTCTTTTTGTTCAATTATGTTAATTTGGATGAATTTTTTAACTGTGCACTTTAGTCTACTAATCACATGAGGGTTATGTGGAGGTTTTTAAATGTCAAGGAGATAAAATGAATCACAGGGAGATAAGATAAAATGAAGTTTGCCCAAAAAACACACTTTTATCACTAACATAGGCCACACAATGCAGGACCGCTAATCCAACACTAAATCCACATAAAAATAATGGATTGGACTTTAGTCTTAACTGGTCAGACTCATCAAATAAATTGATCCACTTTACACCAACTTACACAATGTAAATTAGTCCGTTCATCAAATTCTACCACTGCAGAACCCAATTATACTCAAAAAAAAAAAAAAAAGTTTAATCTTGACTTCAAACGAACACTAAATATATACTTAACAGATACAAGTCAAACGTAATGTTGCGATAGAAAATAACAAAGTTATCGAGCAAAGTGTAACTACAACCAAAACGAAACAATAATAGAAGACCAAGTCTGCAAGCACCCAACACAATATGAAACCAATTATAATCAACTAAAAAAGAGTTAGGTATAAATTGAACAAATTTTAACATAATACGATGAAAATCCCATCCCACCCTCACCCGACCCATTAACCACCCTATATGTAGAACATCTTAGTGCAAAAGCTTTCTCAAAGATTGCATTAGTGCAAGAGAACAATGACATCTAAGAAAACTAATGACCTTGCACTTATTAATAAGAACTAAATAAGTCAATGGTTTCTATAGTGTTCTTTNGATGAAAATCCCATCCCACCCTCACCCGACCCATTAGCCACCCTATATGTAGAACATCTTAGTGCAAAAGCTTTCTCAAAGATTGCATTAGTGCAAGAGAACAATGACATCTAAGAAAACCAATGACCTTGCACTTATTAATAAGAACTAAATAAGTCAATGGTTTCTATAGTGTTCTTTAAATCTCACTTTAGTATCCCAACTACTAATTGTAAAAAGGAAAAAATAGTACCTTTGCTGTTCCTATTTTCCCAAAAAAAAAACCGAGCCGACGGGTAGGAATTAGTAAATTCTATCTTCCAAGCCGATGAATTGTGAAAGGCCAATATTTTACAGAGTTGTAAAAATAAATAAATATAACAAACCTCTTCATGCAGAATGCGAATTAGGAGTATTAACCCAATTCAGATCACCAAACTCACAGGATGACTCCTTCAACATTGTTAAGAGCTCTCTTTGCAATCTTAAATTTTTCTCCAGAGGATTTTTGGTCACTCACAACATACTTGCTGACGAAAAACACGATTCCGTTTCGAAGTGTTTCATACTCGGGGGTGACAGCTATGCGCGTGAATATGTTCCAAACAAGCCTATCTGGAAACTCAAAGACGGCCTCAAATAGCAATCGAAAATGCATAATCTTTTTTGGAGTTAGTTGTCTGGTGTCACTTAGATCCACAGCCTTCAAGACAGCAAGAGAGAGGCTAAAAGACACAAACATCTCCGCAACAAATTTTGACAAGTGCATTGATCTAATCAGCTGCATCGACTCCAATTCTTTGAAATGGTCCCATAAGCAGAACTGTGACATAATATAAGAGCAAGAAGATGACAAAAAGACAAACAAATGTTTTATTCATTCACAACGTTCTGTGAAAGATGGTACAACGTGGTGTAAAATTTTTTAAACTATCCTTTCCATCAAGTATTTTTCATGCTTTCTACTCTTCATTAAATTATCTTCTTCAGCAAGGTTACAAATGCCTGATGATTGTTATGCAAGATACCTAACTAAACTTTCTGTAAAAATGTTAGGGCTAGCATGAAATGCAATACCTGTAAAGTAAACTTGTGGTTTTTGTCATGGCTGCACAACTTGGAAGCCAGAACACAGTAGTACTTGTTAAAGACTTTCTCGTGTAGACAGCAATCCACTAGAACTCGCATGATTTCTCTATCCTACAAATGTGTACAGAAAGAAGTAATGACAAGACAAAAAAAAATAATAGCCAAATTGATAAAGATTTTTAAAAAAGGACGTTACCTGCTTCACTGGCAAATCCAACCTCAAAAGTTTTTCAAAAGCATCAATGTAGTCCTCCCCACTCATTATTATACAAAAGATTGCCCTTCTTGCATCTGTGTTCATCCTCTGTGAAGCAGCAAGTTGCAGCATTTTCTGGGCTTCAGGGACTTGCCTGTCAATTGTGCTGGCAACCTCCTCAATATTTTCTGTAGACGACGCCATATCCCCACACAGCCACCATTGCCCTTTCTTGTCAGGATTAAGAAGCTTACTCCATTTCAGCCCTCGAATTAAAATATCATCCACTCTTAACTGCAATAAGGTGATCAGACTACAAAAATAAAAACATGCACACCACACAATTTGCTTGCTAATTAGATACATGCATAACTTGACTCTCTAAGAAGCACAAAAAGATTTGATTTTCTTTACATGGTCTAATCATGCTGACCACTTATGTCAGATGCCTCACTTTTCTTTAAATTAATTAAACTCATGTAAAAACAGTAAAATATTACCAGCAATACGACTCTACAATTGTACCCCTTAATAACTATTACTCGCATCTTTTATTCCTTTTGCCTTATCTCCGCTAAACCCTTGTTGAGAAATTAGTGTCATTGTTCCAGCACTATTCAACAGCATTCCAGTGAGCAAGCTGGAAAATGTGGCAGTGCAAAATGCACATGAAATAGTAGCAATGATTCAGTTAGCACTAACAGATCTGAAGTCAACACACAATCATAGACCGACGCAGCAATCTAAAAAGTTGACACATGGACTAAGAAATTGCATGGAGATGGAAATACATACATGTAAAAATATAGTTAACTACAATCTCATAAAGGCAACACCAGAATTTTTGTCTAGTCCATTTTAGATTTTATGGTGATCAGATTACTACGGCGTGTGTGTGTTCACTGGTGCAAACATATGCATTGCCGTACGGGCCATCCGCAAATTCATTATCAAAGGGAAAAATGGCGTAAAGTGATTATTAAGATCACATAGATACCCATTTAAGTGCTCAAACTATCCATCAAGACCAGTACGAAAAACACCTTAAAAAATAAGGTAACTATTACTGGAGGAATTCCAGAAATGCCCCAGAAATATGCCAGTCGTTTCAAATTTCCCCATCAACTGCAATTTGCCTCAATTTTAAACTTGAACTTTTCAAAACATATTAATCAACCCTTCCGTCCATAACCCTGATTAAACTAACAGTTGCACATGACTTTTGGCAGGAACAAAAACGTTTCCATGGGAAGTCCAAAATACAAAAACCCGACCAGACCCAGACCCTCAGAAAAAACTCCTCCACCACCACAACCACCCACTTTCTACTACAAATCAAACACACAACCCACAAGACAAAAACCCAACAAAAACCGAGAATCAAGACACCATGGATCTTGACTACACTTCATTTATCGCTGCGCAGGAATGACGATGGCAGTTGGTCATTGATCTGTTCTAGGATGATTTTAGAAGGCGGTAGCGATCATGGTATTAGTGATAGCAGTGGTTTATCTCTCCAACTCTCTCTCTCAAAGAAAAAAAAACCGACCCCAAAGAAAAAGCCTACTGATTGAAATATCAGACTCCCGTTACTGTGATGACAGTGGTGGTTAAGTTGGACCTGGAGATGCACAAGAAGGGGTGGTTGGACAGTGTGGATGATGCAGAGGACGTGGAAATACTTGGATGATTTGGGTGGTCATTTGGGGGCAGTGGTGTTTGGTGGAATTGAGGAGAGACAGTGGTAAGGAGTTCTATTAGGAAGAAAGAGGCTAGTCCGGAATATTTGGAAACAAGGCCAGATATACTGAAGGTAGAGGTGGTTGGAGGGTGATGACAAGGGTGGAGGATGGGTGAGGTGGCTTTTCACAGATGAGGTTTTTCTTTACCCTGAAATGCCTGTAGCAGAACTTAAGTGCAACTCACATGTGGGCTTCTCTGTTAGTTTGAACTAGGGATTTAGGCGGAAGAGGTTGATTGATACGTTTCCAGAAGTTCACTGTTAAAATTGAACAAATTGAAGTTGAGGGGGAAATTCAAATCGAAGTACAGTTCAGGAGGCACTAGAAGAATTTTCCGTTATTGTTTTTAACACGACAGATGAATTTCTTTCAATTAAATCAAGCCTTCTATAAAGAAGAATGAACACAATATAGCCCCTCATTGTGTCACTTCAGGTCCAAACAACCTGTCATAGCCTCATAGGTCCTGACACGAGTAGAATTTCAGTTCTTCCAAAGTAGTATCTCATTGATAGTCCCCCCCCCCACAAAAAAAAAAAAAAAAAAAAAAAA